AAAAAGCAAAACAAAAGGCTAAGGCAGAGGAATGGAGACCCAATCAATAATTTACCAGATTTACCAGAGTAGAACCAGCACCTCGAAAAGCCAGTCTCCTCATAGTGTCTGATGGCCAAGCACAGATACTGGGAGAAGGTGACACTCTAAGAGTAGCAGACCAGTAATGGGGTTAGGACAGCCAGAACTGGAAGACAAGAAGAAGGAAAGAGAGAGAGGAGAAAATTTAGAGTGGATAGATAAGGAATAACTTGGATAATTACAGCGACAGAGAAAAAAAAGCAAGAAACAGAAGGTAACTTTTTTTAGCCCAGTAGAAACTCTACAAAGTAATTTTGTACACAGAATGCCAGACACTTCTGTCATTTTCACAGCAAAAATACATTTCTCTAATGCTCCTGAACACATATTACAGATTTCACAGCCACTTGCTGGAGAATGATTCATCAAGCAGAGCAGAGAGTAAACATAAGTGATACCTGACCTGAGAGTAAAAACCAGAAAGCAGTAAAAGTTACAGAATGCAAAGTACTACAGTGCTTATAACAACAAGATCATCCTAAGGTCAAGAAACATTTCATAAACACCACAGTGATGATGCACCTCCATCACTCTTCAGAGTGGGTTTTTACCCTCAGAACTAAGCAATATCCAGCCACAATGGCTCACTTAAGATATTGTTTTGATTCCTAAGCAGTCTCTAAGCCTTGTTTTTTTTCCCCATAAATTCCATGTGAAACACACAGAACCATTTTATGGCAAAATCTTTGCTTCTTATGGAGTTTATCCAACCACTGCCTTCAACCAAATCCCAGAGAGACTCTTTTCCTATTCAGCACTCTGGACATTTTCATAACACAGACATGCAGAGAAATCCTGTGCCTTATTAGCAGGCAATTCATCTTGGGAGCAACCAGCCCCTTGCTGTGGCATTGCCTCCAACTTCTGCCTGTGGGCCACGATTTGGAATGGCCAAGAGGAAGGACTACATCTGGTCCAGCCAGGAACCCAAAAGTAAACTCAGTCCAATTCCACCCTGAAATAAAGATTTGGGGACCTTCCAACCAGCACCTGCCTCCAAACTGCACAGCAGCTTCTCCATGTCCACGATCCAAGGCACGACTGCCATTCACTGTCTCTGAGCCACACACTGACCCTGGTGAACACCTGTGTGATCCAGACACCCTGAGCACTCTGTACACGGCCCCCAAAGCCCACTTTTCTCCTCTAAAAACCGTGCAAAACACACATCAGTCTGGACAACATCCTGAATACTCGGTGAGGGATCTGCTTAAGTGAAACTCCTGCAGAACATGAGGCTTCTAAATGCAAACTTCCCTCCAGATCTCCAAGCTCCCAAGCACAGGTAACCCTGCTGCCCACAGAAATGGATTGTTTTGCTTAAGAACACGTCTCCCAGACTTTCTTCTGCAGCCTAGCTGTGAAGCCAAACTTGAGAGTTGGCTCACAAGTCTCAACAGTCACACCAAGAATCTCCACCTCCAGCGCAACAGGAGCTTGAGCATCTTCTCAGGAATCGCTCTCACCACCCGTAAAAATGTCACAAGGGCACAGACAGCTCCGCGAGAAATGCTCTGGCCATCACTAACTCTGCTGCACACACAACAGGTGGAGGGGCTGTCTCTCCCAAAGCTGCACCAGACTGAGCACCACACGTGTTACCCTCTCTCACCTCACCACACGAAGCAGTTTTAGGCACATCTGACACAACACTCTCAAAACAAGCCGATGCCTTCAACCACACGCTTCATTTTCTGCCTCCGCGTAGAGAAGCGCTGGAAGCCCAGAGATACCACGGGTGTCGTTATCGGGGTCTGCCACGTTTAAACAGAAACACCGAACACGGGAAATTTAGCCAAGGGAACGAGGGCGGGAAACGCGGACAGAATTCCCCCGTTACGGATCCCATTGAAACCCGCGCCAGGACGGGACGAGGGGGGCGGCAGCACCCGGACACCGAAACAGGACCGAGCCGGGGAAGGCGAGAGAGGCACCGACACCAAACCGGGGAACAAAGAAAGAGCCGGACACACCATTCGCGCGGAGCGCCCCGAGCGCCGGCCGGGGGGAGCGGCACACAAAGAGAACACCGGGGCTGGCACCGGGCCCGCGGGACAGCGGTGCCGGCCCGGCCCGCGCTGCCGCTGCACCGGGACCCGGCCCGGGGACAGCGCGGGCCCAGCCCGGCCCGGGGCGCACGGCGGGAACGCGGCGGGCCCAGCGCCCGCGGGAGGGTGACAGGGAATAGGCGGCGTTCCGCGCCCCGGGCCCGGCGCGCTCGGGCGGCGGCGCCGCCGCCGCCGCCGCCGCCACACAAAGAGAGGCAGCAGCGGCCTCCAGGCTCCGGCCCGCGCCTCCCCCCCCTCGCCCCCGCGGCGCTCACCCCGCCGGCTCCGCTCCGCGCGCCGCCGCCGCCGCCGCCGCGGGCAGCCCCGGTGGGTGCGCGGGGTCCGCCCGGCCCGGCCCGTCCCGCCGGTCCCGCCCGCACCGACACCGACACCGCCGCCGCTGCCGCAAAGCGCGCCACGGCCCGCGCGACACACAACCCCCCCCCCCAGCCGGGCAGCGCCGGCGCGCTTTACGGCAGCGCCCGGGAGGCGGGAGCACGTGGCGGCGCCATGAGGAGACCGAGTGAGAGGCGGGAGCGGGTACCGGGAACGGGCACCGGGAGCGGGCACGGGCACCGGGAACAGCGACAGACGGCGCCCTGCGGGCAGGGGTGGCGGTGGAGGGAGGCGGCGCGGCACCGCGGGCCGCCTGCGGCCGAGCGAGCGACAAGGGCCCGGGGCGGGGGGAATGGGACACCAGGACAGGGGAATCGGGCACCGGGACAGGGGAATCGGGCACCAGAGCTCGAGGGAACGGCGGCGGGGGGAATGGAACACCAGGACAGGGGAATCGGGCACCAGAGCTCGGGGGAACGGCGGCGGCGGGAGCTCGGCCGTGTCCCGGGGTGGGGGGATGTCTTTGTCGGTACCCGGTGATCCCGGCACACGCTGATCCCGGTGCGTTGCAGAGCTGAGGAAGGCGAGCAAGAGGCTGAGCTGCCACAAGCGCTACAAGATCCAGAAGAAGGTGAGTCCCGACGGTGCGAGATGAGAGAACGGGGGGATCTGCTGCAAATTAAAGCTCTGTGTTAACTAGTTTAACGCTAAAAGCATTTTTATATGTTACTACAGAACACTGAAAGCATTTTTTGGTGTTAATATAGAAATATGTTTCGCGTGTACATGTATACAGTTATTATATTGCATGGTAAAGAGTCTGGGCTCCAGCGAGGAGTTTGTTTTCCCGTGTAGGTTTTTTACATCTTTGTATTTTACATTATTTTGGGCTGGTGCATTCAAGTGTATCTTCATGATGACACATTATGCAGTCAAACCCCCTCGGGCAGGTCAGAAATGTGCCGGGTTTTACTCTCTAAGTTTGGGGGGGGGGCTTAGACTGAGCAAATGTTCTTGTTCTTGTCTCCAGATCAGGGAACACCACCGAAAGGTCAGGAAGGAGGCCAAGAAACGTGGGCACAAAAAGCCCAAGAAGGATCCCGGAGTTCCCAGCGCTGCACCGTTCAAGGAAGAGCTTCTACGAGAGGCAGAGCAAAGAAAGCAGAGGGTAAAATAGAGCTTGTGGCAAAGAGGGCAAGAACTGAAACCATTCCTGTCTTCAAGGAGGCTTTATGTGTGCACCAAAGGTGCAGCTGTGGTAGATTGTAGATGGTCCCGGTAGACACTTACTTTGGAAAAATAATATCTTTATTTCCAGGATTGTACAGTATGCAACAATTGGCTCTTTTTTTTTTTTTTTAACCTTCTCTTTCTCACTGCGTGTATAAACATGCTGGAAGAGTCATTTTTAATGTGCTCCAGAGTAACTCTGATGGTGAGATACAGGGATGTGATGCAGGGATTGGCATAATGGGATTATACAGAAAATACGGATATGCTGGCTGCTGTAATGTGGATGGGAGCAGCAGAGCTGTAGTGGTTGCTGCACAGCTGTTATTTTGGGGTCAAGCAAATGGCTGGTTGGCTCTGGTTTTGAGGCAGTTGAAGGTGACAGTACTTTTTTCAGGGTAGGATGCAAAAAAACGTGTCCCACTGTCACCTGGATAGCCAGGACTTCAAACTGAGCTGTGTCAGGAACTTGGGTCAGACACAGGGAACTGGAGAGAAAGAACAGTCTTCCTTGCCACCTTCAAAGATGTTTTATCTGCCTTGGGTTTTGTTTGCAATCAGCTTGAAGAACTGAAACAAAAGCAGAAGCTCAACAGACAGAAAGAACATGAAAAGAAGAGGAAGCTGGAAGCTAAAAAGAATGCAGCCAAAATCAAGGAAAAGGCAGAGGGAAAGGTGGGTGTCCTGTATGATTCTGATTCTGTGAGGCTTATAAAAGTCATTCTGAAACTGCACCTTCTCAAGCAGTTACATTTTCATGCTGTGTATGCATACAGGTGTTTACACTAATTCTCATTTAAATAATTCCTTTTTGTTTTTATTTGCCTTCAGGAATCCTCTGGCAAATCTAAAGGAAAGACTAAAAAGCCTCTGAATAAAAATTCAAAGAAATCCTTCTGCAGGGAGCTCAACAAGGTGAAATGCTTCAGCTATCTTTGTATCATTTGATGAGAGTCAGCAGTTAGACCACTTGTTATTTCCCTTTCTTTGGCATTACTGTGCAGCTGCTGGAAGGGATTTTACAACAGAGAGCATTTACAACACAGTAACTTTTGTTGTCAGCTGGTGTGTGATACCTTATTTGAGAGTCTTGTCTCGTTTCTAACCCAGGTGCTCGAGGCCTCAGACGTGGTTCTGGAGGTTTTAGATGCGAGAGATCCACTGGGCTGCCGGTGTCCTCAGCTGGAGCAAGCTGTCATTTCCTCTGCGGGAAACAAAAAGCTGCTCTTGGTTCTGAACAAAATCGGTAAGAAACACAGGTTTTCTCCAAGTGTTACTTCGTCACTGTGTGGTTCTGTGGTATGTGAGCTGTGAAGAAGATTTTAAAGGAATCTGAGATTCCATTGAAGACATTTGTTCCAACTCTGAGCTCACTAAAAAAGCTGGAAATTACTGAGTTACCAACAGCTAAAAAAACCCAAAATAAAATACCAAGAGCAAAGGGAACTTTGTGTTAGAGTAGCCCTTGCAGGGATGGTGGGATAATAGTTTACAGAACATCACTCTGGATCATACACAGTCCTTTAGCAAGACCCCAACCTTAAAAACCTAATAAAGAGCCAAAAATGTAATTGGGATGGGTTCTGCTTAGAGCAGGAAAAGGAGACACTGGGTGCCTTTGGGGAACTTACCTTGTACTTCAGTAGCATTTTCAGCCCAACATTATTTGTCGTAAAGGGACATCCTAAATGGATAAAATGTGGCCAGATTTCTAATTCCACATCAGATTTCCTACACACAGTGATATTGAAGATTCACAAGAGTGAAAGAACTCTTTTTTCCAGATTTAGTGCCAAAGGACAACTTGGAGAAATGGTTGAATTATTTGAAGAAGGAGTTTCCAACAGTTGCTTTTAAATCAGCAACATTGATGAAGGACAAGACTGTGGTAAGAGAGACAAGGCATGTTGTCTCCTGAGTAAGTTGTGTTTGCAATCATAAATGCTGAGGAACAGGAACTCTTTATTCTATAAAATTCCTTCTCCCCTTGTTTGATTACACTGCTGGGACTGATGGATATGCCTCCACACTTCAGCTGAGCTTTGCAGTACAGTGGGGAGGGGGATTCTTGCCATTGAAATTACAGTAGATTGATAAATATAGATCAGTAAACAGAATATATATATTTTACCTTCCTAACTAGCTCCTGCTCATGGGGTTTTTTTTTGCCTTTGACTCTTGTAGCAGGAACAGTTCACAAAAAGACGTAGACATGTTGATTTCTCAAAACCCTCTCAGTGTTTTGGAACCAAATGCCTTTTGAAACTTCTTCAAGAGCACGGCAAGACTGAAAACAAAGCCATTCAGGTTGGGGTAGTAGGTGAGTGTTTCTGGACAGTCAGGAGGAGTTTCCTTCTTCCCCATAAAGCTTTGGGATCCTGTGATACAAAGTGGGTAAAACTGCTAACCCAGGAAGGGGCTTTCCAGTCCTTGTATCAATGTGAGAAATGAGGATACACACTTTGTCTGACTTCTGTAGTGAAGACTTCAGATCCAACTCTGATCTCACACTGATGATGCTCCTTAGCACAGACACTTGGAAGAAGCAGTTTTGATCAGTGTTGTTTAACTTACAAGGATTTATGTGATTTTCTTCAGGTTTCCCTAATGTGGGAAAGAGCAGCATAATCAACAGTCTCAAAGGAGTGCGTGTTTGCAATGTCAGCATAGCAAGAGGTGTTACCAAGTAAGTTAAACTGATAAAAGCTGTTCCTTTCCCTGTTTCTTGTGTTCCACTTACCTTGAGTTCTGTTTGTGTAGTTTCCATCCAGTGGGTGCAAAACACACACTTGTGTGCAGTTTTAAATGCACACTTCAGTTTGCAAGATGAAAGATGTTGATCTGTGTGATGGAAGCTCTCACCAGAGGATAAAGTGTAGAAACTTTTTGTAGGTTTAGATTTCTGACCCACACAAAGCACATGATGACAAAGCACTGAAACTGAGACTGTATGAAGTCCATTCAATCCAACACTGAGCTTTGTGTCTTACATCCCCCCCCACCATTACTCCTTCACTGACTGTCTACTCACAGTGCATTTCTCTCTGATTAGGTCCATGCAAATTGTGCACATTGATAAGCAGACAAAGATGTTGGACAGTCCAAGTATAATTGCAGATCCTTCCAACAGTGCCCTGGCTCTGGCCTTGAGAAGTATCATAGACACTGAAGAACCAGGCTCAGCAGATGTGCTTGAAGCAGTAAATGCCATTATAAATAACTGCAGTAAGCAGCAGGTGAGCTCCATCTTTTTCCACATCTCTCCCTGTATTTCACTCCTCTCTAGGTTTCTTAGGCCCAGTAATAAAAGTTCCTTTCACTTCAGGCAATTCTGATAGTTTTTGCACTGCTTTCCCCTAATCATACAGAGTAGCAGTGCCAAGTGTGATCCTTCATCCTTACTAGCAGAAGGCAGAACAGCATGCCATGACCCTGACAGCCAGAGCGTTAGCCCAGTAACTCTCCTGATTTTTAAACAACACTGCTTTCAAGATCTCATCACGGTATCCCAGAGTGAAAAATGATGACATTCTTTCTGTATCCTATTGTTACAGTGAAGACCTCAGATCCAACTCTGATTTCACTCAGACTAACCTAAGCCTAATTCCCATGCAGTGACTGTTCTCACAGACCAGTGCTCTGTCTCTGCACACCCACCAGTCTGGGTGAATGCCCAGGAGTTTGTTGGTGAAGAAGGCATTTTGCTTTGTAATGTTTACTCTCACCTGCAAGAGAAAAACAGCTCTTCACACACTCATCATTGTAATGCAATTTGACTTGCTCTTTTATTCCTAATACTAAGAGGAAGGTGGGTCTCTCTTAATATGCCATTTTCTTTTCCCCTAGGTAATGATGCACTACAGTATGCCAGATTTCAGGAACCCTGAGGAGTTTCTATCTTTACTTGCTCAGAAGAGGGGCATGCTGAAAAAGGGAGGTGTTCCTGACATAGAGAATGTAGCTAAGCTGGTGCTCTGTGACTGGACAGGGTATGTATGCTGTGAACTTGGCTCTGTGCTGCTCACCTTCCTCATGTTGTTAATCCAGCACAGCAGAAACCCCCAGTCATGCAGAGCACTTAGAAAGGAGAGGCTTTCCTTTTTTCCATTTTTTTCCCTTGATTTCTCACATTTTACTTCAGTAAAGAGCTGGATTGGCCAACAAAGTTAGGGAATGCCATCCATGGATAATTTTCTGAAGTAGAGAGGGATACATGACAGAAGTCAAAGCACATGAACTCCAGAGCCAGTTTGCTGACTTACAGTGTGACTCTCTCAGGGAAATTCGCCTTCTTCTCCAATGCAGAGTCCATGTAGTTCTCTTCTACACAGGAAAGGATGTGGCAGATTTTCTGTGGAAATTTATGCCGGTTCCTGTATTCTGAGGGTGGGAATAAATGTAACTCAGAATCAGTAATTGACTGGGATTATTTCTCTTGCTCGTGTTGTTCAGCTGCTTTTACAGCTCATGATTATACAGGCAGGTGATTTGTGGTGACACAATGTGTGCCAGTTCTTTTCCCTTTCAGGAGTGGGCAATCCACTTAATACTGTTGACAACTTCAGAGTCAAAATTAAATAGCTATTAAACTGCTATTAAACAGCTATTAGTACATGAGTATTTAGGTTGAGAAGTTTGAGAGCTTTGTGCTCTTGGGTTTATTTTTAAATACAGTGATTTAACTATGCTATCTTTAGGTTATTTTTAATGCTGATTTTTATTTCCCAGAGGCAGAATAAGCTACCACTCAGAACCTCCAGGATCTCAGACACCACCACCCTATCTTACACAACAAAAAATAGCTGAAATGCAGGAGGGCTTTAATTTAAAGAACCTAGAAGAAGAAAACAGGAACACTGTTCAAGGTAGGACTGTTACTGTGATCCACTACCATTAATCACAGAATGGTTTGGGTTGGAAGGGACGTGAAAGATCCATCTCACTTCAACCCCCCTGCCATGGGCAGGGACACCTTCCACTATCCCATGTTGCTCAGAGCCCCATCCAGCCTGGCCTTGAACACTTCCAGCTTCTCTGGGCAACCTGTGCCAGTGCATCACCACTCTCACATGGAAGATTTTTTTCCTAGTATCTAATCTAAACCTACTTAGGCAAACTTACCTGTACTCAAATCCAAGATTTTAAACTGTTAGCAGTCTCAGAATTGTCCTTGTTCTGGCTGCCCTTGTGGGAGTGCTATGGCAGGGAGGGGACAAGACTAAAATGTGTCCTCTCAGGGTGGGCATTACACCTGGTGCTGTCTGACTGGGACTTACAGACATTTACCATGTCTTTGCCAGCTTTAAAATACCCCAGCCCAGCAAGCAGCATTATTTTCCAGTCAGCTGGTATGGCAAATGGGACAATAGAGGAAAATAAAGTGATAGAGGAAGGATCAAACTGGAAAAACGTGGAAAGAACCAAGGAGGAGGAAGAGGAAGAAGATGAGGAAGAGGAAGAAGAGGAGGAGGAATTTACAGAAAGCGATGATGATGAAGATGATATGGAAGAAGAAGATGATGTTGAAGAGGTAAATTAAGGTTTCTACCTGTTTAGATCCTGACACCAGTCAGTGTCCTGCTGTGAAATGAGGCACTGTGGAGACACTGGATGTGATCAAAAGCCCTTCTCCTCCAGATAAGGGCTGGGCTGTTTCCCTCAGTTAAGGAAACAGCATTGTTCTGAGTCACTTGCCTCAGCAGTGTTTAACCAACCGTCCAAGGGGACATCCACTTTATCCTCAGGGTCTGTTAGGTTTCATCTGCACAGGAGATCTCATTAGTCACGTTTGAATAACACACCTCTGATCTCTCTGACTTGTAGGAAAGCAAAGTTCAGGTCACCAGGAAAGCAAAGCCTGGAAAACAAGAAGCAAACCCTCCCAATTCAGAAGAGCAGATGGCAGGTCTGTATGAAGGACTCTGGCTTCAAGGGTGGTCTCTTGTACTCAGCACTTGCACTGGTTTCACTAACACCTGATTTTCTCTTCTCAGAAGGTGAACATTCCACTTCCCTGTCCTTCAGCTTGGATAAGCCAGCAGAGGAAGATGATGCCTACGATTTTAATACAGACTATGTGTAACAATCAGGTGGGCAGGCACTGTTTGGACACTCTTACTGCTGGCCTACAGAACAGCCCTGGAGACTGGAGTTGCAGCAGAAGCTGGAGGAAAGCTGCACACCAGAGCTGCTGCAAAGACTTACAGTTGTTGCTGTATCAAATAATGTATATAATAGTGCATATCCCTCGGTGGTTCCAGATTTTATACAGGTCCGGGAAACTGACTGTTATTCAGCTTTAAATCATAGAGTTTATTTCCTGTATTAAAACCTATTTTAAAAAATTCCTAATATGCTGAGTTAGTGTGTTCATTTTCTCTT